TGATTGAGTACAAACCTTACGCTTTCCCAGTAGCCATGTCTATATTCGTCAGAATAGACCACAGAGCTTCGTGGATTTAACCGTGCAATAACCAAGCGGGAGGTTAAAAGAACGCACAGGACATGATTCCCGAGCTTTCGGAGGAATTTAAGACGTATAAACAGAGTGAATGTAATTGTCATGATAAGGGGCTCACTAGCAAAATAGCTAATAGGGCGCGGTACTTTCCCAACTGACCAATCACAGCAAAGAAAATAACGCAAAGAACCGATCAAAATTCGCAAAAACGGTGTTAGTCCAGTGTTAATAGTGGGTAGAAGAGCACAAAAGAGAAGCACGTGATTATCGTCCTAGAGAACCGCCCTAGGTATTAAACAATCTTTAAGAGTTTTGTTAGCTTTTTCTGATTTTAAAACCAGGCAATATAAACTAAGTTATGAATGTTTTTAATCTCTTAAACTTCTTTTGTAATCCGATCTTAGTAAATTTGTATGATTTTTTTTTTACTGAATTTTTGGTGGCCTCTGTCCACCTTCATCAGAGTTGCAAACTGAGTTCATTTTTAATCAAACCAGCGCTTGATCATGAGGAGTCATAAAATATAACGGGCCCTTTTATATCGACAAAGGGGAGCCCGAGCGTTCCCTTTCCTATTACAGTAAAAGGAGTGGGGTTTTCGGAACTTTATACAGAGCTCGGGATCCGGGAAACCGAAATGTTCTGATAGATGCGAACTGATGAACTTTCTGGATAAAACATTCTACATGTAAAATGGGCTCCGACAGAGTCTACACCGCCACGGCAGGAACATCCAAGTCGCGTAAAAAGTCTTTCACTGCCTGAGTGTATTCCTTGTTGTGAACGTAGAAGTGTGATACGTGAGGCGAACTGTCGAAACACTTCTGCCTCACATTCATGTTGAGTTTGTTCCTCCAGTGATCTGCGCATGCTTGGCATGTGTTGACGTCAGCAACTTTGTCATCTTTGGAAAACAGAAACAACGCGGGCGAGCGGACTGGGTTGTTATGGAACAAATGGGAATGCGCCACGTAAACTTTGGTCGTGTATCTTGCGAAAAGCAGCAAATAGGACTCGATAGAGGATTTCATAAGCCAGCGAACGAATGGATTTTCAGCGGCGGCGTTGGAAATGCCGTAGGGAATTCCATGGAAATCCACCGGGCTGTCGAACACTTGCCCGCGTATTCTGGTCTTTACAGGGGAGAACTTATCTAGTTTTTCCATTAAATTGAGAACATGGCTGTAGAGATAACCTCCGACGGAGAAGCCGTGTACTATGACAGGCCTGTGCAGGTTTTCCGCAGAGGTTAGCTCGTTCAGGACTTTAGCAGCCACTTGTTCCGCTCTCTTTGGTCGGAGAATCTGCAACGATAAAGAGAAATAAAAATAAATACTATTGTTACTTTACGGTACTTTACGTCGGGTTATGTCGGAAAAAGTTCTTTTCATGTTCTAGTTAGATGGTGATATCCCATATGGTGAATGTTTGCATGGGGACGAGTGCATGCCCCATACCACCGGAGTATTTCTACTCTTCCAGCCCCCTCCTCCCCCTCCCCGCCGGAATGAGAAGTTAATCCATCACAGGGTTACCCCCAAAATTGATACCCATTTATACACCTAAGTGGGGTAGAGACAGGCACTGTAAGAGTCAAGTGTCCTGTCCAAGAACAAAACCTGGTACGGCAAGGGCTCAAACCCGGAGCACGCGATCCGAAGTCAAGCGCGCTAACCATTACGTGTATGTCATAACGCCTCCAACTCTCGTGAGACTGGTGATGAAATATAAAGTAAATCACAAGCTTGTGACATAAGCTTCTGAGCAATTTATGCTCTCTCCATTTCTTTAAGGATAGCAATCGTTACATGATTTCTTCTGAGTATCCGCACAGGCCATACGCGGTTTGGGACTGGTGCTATTTTGTTATGTCAAGTGGAGATCAGTGGACAATTCTCAGATTTTCCATCATTGATAAACCGACACTGAATTGAATACCACCGCTTTTTGTCGACTGAAAAAGTCAAGCAACAAGTGATGATTTTGGTGAATCTTCGTTTGGACACTGCAATTAGATGTGTTTCTTATTATTCAGTAAAATAACAATAATTAAAAGAAAAACAATAAAAACCTCAGGCACACAAGGGTACTGCAAAAATTATAACATCATTACAATGAAGATACCTCATGTTCGCTTTATAGCAACTTCGGTGACGAGAAAACAACGGGCTCAGTAGACAATTCCGATAGGATTTCGTTCTGATCTGAGAGACTGAACTTATTTGCCAATGAAAACATAAAATAACGGTCTCTCACTTAAGAGCACAGGTTCACTTCATCTTATCTCGGATCATTTCGTTAAAGCGCAAAAAGCATATCTCACTCTTACAACGGAAATTCTCAGGGCCCGTTACATTAAAATTTCAGTCCTTTAAGTCTGTTCACATAACTTCTGTTTTCACTGAGATCGCCCGGGGCGCGAATAAACCGGGCGGAATAGGTCACTTTCGATATTTTAAA